CACTGCCGTCAGCCGCGTCCCTATCACACAGATAGATTACTTGTTATATGATCTAGTGATGCTCTCCACATTCACTTTTCTCCTCCAGTAGAGGTTCTAGCCTAGAACAGGTGCTACTTTTTAATTATGTCTTTCAAATTCTAAAATACTTCTGCTATTTTTGCTGGCCTCTTTTAACACTGTCAATTCCTTTTTAAAAATAATTTTATGCATTTTTAAGTATGTCTGTGAGAGAGGGCAGTTGGGGGGGGGGAAGGGCGCAGTGCTCTCAGAAACTAGGTGAGGGTATCAGCTCCCCTGGAACTGGAATTACAGACTTCTGTGAGTGGCCATGTGGGTGCTGGAAATTGAACCTGGGTTCTCTACAAGAGCAGCCACTGCTCTTAACCACTGAGCCATCTACTTAGCCCCATACACTGTCAATTCTTAGTCTTTATGACATTAAATTGGCTTTAAAAAACCAAGTTTTTAAAAAACACTGAACATTCTTCATGATACCAAGTGCAGATGGTGATAATCTACACTTATCTGGAGGCTCACGCTGTGCATCTGCACTCACATCTGGAGGCTCACGCTGTGCATCTGCACTCACATCTGGAGGCTCACGCTGTGCATCTGCACTCACATCTGGAGGCTCACGCTGTGCATCTGCACTCACATCTGGAGGCTCACGCTGTGCATCTGCACTCACATCTGGAGGCTCACGCTGTACATCTCTTCTTACTCTGATGATGTTCATTTGGGTTACCCAGTCAAGAAACCCCTCAATTTCTCTGGCATATTACTGAGTTGTTCTTCCTCCTCTATTTATGATTATATAGGTCTAGCCATTTCTCAAAACTCAAAAAATGATAGACGTATGTATTTCCCAACACCATTATTAACAAGAGAAATCATAAACGAATGTCAAACTTCAGTTAACAAAATGTATGCTCAAGTATTCTGGGCTGTCTGCTTCTTATTATGAACTGTCAAAATACAAGATGTACCCTGGACATAGAAATGCACACCTTTAATCCTAGCACGTGGGAGGCACAGGCAGGAGAATATCTGAGTTTGAGATCAGTTTGGTCTACACAGTGAGTTCCAGGTCAGCCAAGGCTAGATAAAGCAATGGATGATAATATGGCAATGTAAGGAAATACAGTAAAAGTTAACAACTGGGACATATAGTTGATGAGTATAGGGTATTTATTATGTATAATACTTGCTGTAAACAAATAAATATGTACTTACTATGTACAATTCCTTGAAAATTAATACACTTGAGTATTTTTCATAATGAAATATTGAGAATTTGGGGGCTAAGGATGTATACTCAATTAGCAGAGTGCTTGCTTACTCTCACAGGCCTGGAGGCTTGTTCTCCAATACAACCAGGTATGGTGGCATATGCCTGCAGTCACAGTACTTGGAAGGTGGAGGAAAGAGGACCATGAGTGCAACATCACAAATTCTGACTCTATAGTGAGTTTGAGGTCTGGTCAGGCTACATAATACTCTGTCCTAAATAAAAAAAAAAATAATAAGAATTTTAAAAACATACCATAAGAGGCTAGCTTACAAAGAAGACAAGCAGCAATGGGCGGTAATGATCCCCACAAAGGTTTCTGAGTGTGGTATACTTAATACTGTCAATGAAAGCCAGACAACATTTAGATACTAACAGGTGACTGTGGTGGTGATAAATATCAGTGTCAAACCTATGTGAGTACAGGCTGGAGGTGTGCTCAGCCAAACCTCCTTGTGTGCATTAGGGTCTAAGCTTGATTTCTAGCACCGTGAAGACCAATGCTTTGACTGTGAGCCTTTAATGGCGAGGTCAGCTCTTCAACCCTTCTGATTAAATCAATGTTTATGTGTAGGGATGTGGTTATGTGACTGCCACAGCGCATGTACAGAGGTGAGAGGCTAACTTTTGGAGGTTGCTTCTCTCCTTTCACCATGTGGGTTCCAGGAATTAAAATCAGGTTGCAGGCTTGGCAGCAGGCACCTTTACCCATGTGCTGAGCCATCTTTAAAACAGTTTCATATGAGAACAACAATAAAAAATCCAAACAGCTGGTCTTTTTTATTTGTTTTTGTGTGTGTGCGTGTCTTCACACAGTATGTCTTCATACAGTATGCACATGTATGGGGTGTATCTGTATGATGATGTGCATGTATATTCGTGCTAGGGGTTGATGTTGAATGTCGTCCTTCATTACTCCTCATCCTGTATTCTGGTTTGACAATTTGTCTACTCTAGCTAGGCAGTCTACTTCTGAGTTTCCTCTCTGACTCCTCCCACACACTAGGATTACACCCACTCCATGTCACTTTCCTGGCATTTTCTGTAGAAGATAGAGATCCAGACTTAGGTCTATAGAAGTAACAAGCACTTAACCCACTGAGACACAATCTACCAAAACCTCTATCCAAACAGCATTATTTTACAGTCGTATATATGTAATTGAGTACATACAGGTAATATATATAAAACTTAAATTAATAAATACTTTAGGTATATTTTTAATCTATTATCCTTTATAGTTTATTTATTCAAGCAAATCAGAAGACATTTTTTCTTATTTTAAAATTTTTTAATGACTTATTTCTTTTTATGTACATTGGTGTTCTGCCTGCATATATGCCTGTGTATGGGTTTCAGATCCCTTGGAACTGGAATTACAAACAGTTGTGAGCTGCCATGTGGTTTCTGGGAATTGAACCTGAGTCCTTTACAAGTGTAACCAATGCTCTTAATCACTGAGCCATTTCTCCAGCCCTTATTTTAAAATTCTTAATAGAGTAAATACAAACCCACTTCTATTCTGTTACATAGTATATATGGAAGGATGTTTGTCTATTATTACAAAAACTAAACATGGGGCTAGAGAGAAGGCTCAGTGGTTAAGAGCACTGGCTGCTATTCCAGGGGTCCTGAGTTCAATTCCCAGCAACCACATAGTGGCTCACAACCATCTATAATGTGATCTAATGCCCTCTTCTGGCATAAAAGTATACATGAAGATAGAGCACTCATACATAAAGGAAATAAATAAATCTTAAAGAGAAATGAAAAAAACTGACCACTAAAGAGTTAGTTTTCATTATGGATGTGGCCCTATGGTCAGCCAAGCTGCAGGTTGTGTGCATCAGTACATGTCCATTAGTATATGTGCCTCTGTACCTGTGCAGCACAGATTGGACTCGGGCAATTATTTTAAAAAATAAAGCAAGGTTATGAAGTTGGGAGGAGTGGTGACAGAGTGAGGGATAGATTGCTAAGGAACTGAGGTGAATATGTTTACAATACATTGTGTATTTTTAAATGTATTTTATAACTAATTATATACTATCTATCCTCCTTTTAAAAAAATAGATTCATTTACTTTTATGTATGAGTATTTACCTAAATGTACTTAAGTACACCATGTGTACCTGCTGCCAATAGAAGCCGTAATAGGATGCTGGATCTCCTAGAACTAGAATTACAGTTGGTTGGGAGGCGCTGGGTACAGAACCAGGTTCTGTAAGAGCAGCCAGTGGCTCTTATGCAATGAGTCATCACTCCAGCCCCATAATGTACCCTTCCTTGTTGAATTAACTACACTTACTGCTGTCGTCTCTTCTTCACAAATGTTTTAGTTTTTGTTTGATGTTTAAATTGTAATCATAACCTCTTCTATAATCAACTGATGACAGTTTCAAGTCATTTTGAGATAGCTATGTAGTTAGTGATCACTGCTGTCTTTATTCCTTGGCTCCTTTATTACCTTATCCACAATCTGGCAGCACTTCTTAGCCAATGGAGTACATGTACAACTACCTCTGTCCAAGACAACCAATTCCATACTCAGAAGGTGCGTTCTTATAGTCAGTCTTCCACATGAACAATAACTATTACATAAGAGATAAAACTTCCTTCTTAAAACTATTTTCAAACTATTACTTCCTGTAAATGGCTAAAATTACACCTTGGTATTTAACCCCTTGTATATAATTTAATGTAAAAGTCACATGTTTTCTTGTAAGAATTGAGAATTTATCAAGGCATTGTTATTTGTCATACTTCTTTTTTCTTTAATTGAGTTTTGGCTGAAATATCCAATTTCAACCCAGAAAACTTCCTTCAACAGGGGAAACTTTTTTCCATAAAATCCACAAACTGTATTTTTTTAAACTCTTAAGTATATGCCAAATATTTTGTGACATGTTCCTCTGAGGGGCTAGGGGCTATCTAACAAGCACAGAGCCGTAGGTCCCATCCCCAGCTCAAAAATTATTTTGGATTGCTCTTTTTTAGAAATTAAGTTTGCAGTCAGGTATGGTGCTGGATGCCTTTAATCCTAGCACTCAGGAGACAGAGGTGGGTCAAGGTCAGCCAGAAACACAAAGTAAGACCCTGCTCAGACAAACAAAACAAAAAACAAGTAATAATAAATAAAAGTTATATTTGTAAAGAAATTTCTTATTAGGGCTCAATCACCTAATTTACAAAAGCACAAATTGTGAAGATGACTTATCTCAAGAATCTTGGGAAAAGATAAAATATATTGTTAATAGCAACATAATACCAAATGGGGGGGGATGACAACAGCAGTGTTGATAGGTATGCATGGCAAGAGGTTCTGCAGTAAGACTAGATGCAATAAAAGGTTAGTTCAGCAGCTTACATAGTTATAATACAAAGTGGGTAAGAATGGTATTATGACTGCATTCACATAAGCTGTATACAGCACACAAAGGTTAGTAACTACATCACCACAGCCAATTACATAAGCATTGAATAACTAGCTAGCATTATTTTAAGGTGCTCATTTTATGTACTACACACCAGTGCAGATTTTTTTATAAATTACCATGACTGAATACACATGAGCTGAAACTGTAGCTGGGCTTGGTGGTACACACCTGTAATCCCAGCACTCAGTAGAATGGGGCAGGAAGATTTCAAGTTTGAGGCTGGTCTGGGCTAAATTAGCAAAACACTGTGTCAAAACAAGAAAGACACAAACCTGTGTAACTTTCATCATCACCAGACAAAGGCACCTCTCTTTTTAGCAGCAACTCCAGCTCCTCTGTCTCTGCTACATCCACTGGACGCTCTCCATGTTTATTAGCTTGAAATGGATTCCCACCATGACGAAGCAACAGTTTCACTATCTGCAACATTAAACAGTAGGAATATTTAGTCCTGCCGTTTATTTCAAACAATTCTATTCTCTCTCTTCTTTTATGTGTATGAGTGTTTTGTTTACATTTGTATGTGTACCACTTGCTTGCCTGGTGCCCAAAGAGGTCAGAAGAGGGCATCAAATTCCCTGGGAGTGGCTGGAGTGACACATGGTCGTGAGCTGTCATACGGGTGCTGGGAACTGAATCAGGCAACCAGAAGAGCTGTATGTGGTCTTAGCTGCTGAGCCATCTCTCCGGCCACTCTCTTGATAACACAATATTCATTTGAATGCTATTTCATCTATTCTACATCCATGACTTTTAGTATCTACTCAAAAATTATCCTCCTCCTTTTCCTCCTTTTTCACTAATTCTACTTTCATTAAGCTCACTCCACCTGATGACCTCATCATCTATAAAGAAATGTTCTCCTTAAATTTTAAATGGGGGGAGTGGAACTGAAGAGATGGGTTAAAGGAGGTGGAGGATGGTTTCACAGCCTGGTCCCACATAGAGAGTTCCAGGATAGTCAGGGGTATGTAGAGAGTCTGGAAACAAAGACTCTTGATTCTGTTGAAAGGTTTCTATGATCATCAGGAAGCAATCAAGTAAAGGGCATGAAAAACATGCCACAAAATTTCCAACATAAACAACCAACATTTTACAGATACCTCATACACAAACACTCTAATTAATAGTAAGTTATATGAACTTTAAATAGCTTAAAATACAACAGGCAACACATGAGAAGGTAAAGAAAAATTATACGCCAAAAAATAATAAATAAAGTTGAGTGGTGGTGGTGGTGGCAGCTACCTTTCATTCCAGTACTTGGGAGGCAGACACAGGCAGGCAGATCTCTGTGAGTTTAAGGCCAGCCTGGTCTACAGAGTGAGGCCCAGGACAGTCAGGGCTACATAAAGAAAGCCTGTCTTAAAAATAAATAATTAAATAAATAGTAATAGCTTCCAAAATAGAACTAGGAATAAAGCAGCATAAAGATGTGTAAATAAGGCACAATGCACTTGTGAAAGGCAGGGCACTGACTAGATTACTGGTAAGCTATGTCAACATTCGTCAACCCTCACCACTTAGGCCTGTTCATAAATCTGCTCTTTTCAACTTCCCCCTCCTTAGAATGTTTTACATGTTCCTTGAAAATATGATTTTTACTGAATGGAAAAATACTTTCTTATTTCTTAGCTTTAGTTCGTAGGACATAATACAGATATATAGGGATAAGAATGTTTGGTGTGGGAGAATTGTCTGTAATCTGTCAATCATGTTATAAATAAAAGCTAATCGGCCAGGCGGGAAAACCAGAAATATAGGCGGGAAAACCAGACAGGAAGTAGAAATGATGTAATAAGAACAGGAGAATTCTGGGAAGAAGAAAGTTGATTCCTCCCACTCCTGCCCAGACCACAGAAGCAGCAGGATGTGATCTGCCTCACTGAAAAAGGTACTGAGCCACATGGCTAACATGGATCAGAAAAATGGGTTAATCAAGATGTGAGAGTTAGCCACTGGGAGGCTAGAGCTAATGGGTCAATCAGCTTATAATTGATGGAGACCTATGTGTGATTTTCTTTGGGGCTAAACAGTTGTGGGGTACCGGGCGGGACAGAAACCCCAACAACAAGCAGGCCCTCCATGTTACAAATGTTTAGCAGCTTTTCTTTTCTTCTTAAGGACAAATAGAAGAACAAGGAGAAAACAGTACTCAAAACTTCTTAAACTGTGAAAGTGAAAGAAATGGTCCAGTGGTTAAGAACTCTTACTGCTCTTGGAGAGGACCTGGGTTCAGCTCCCAGCACCAAAACGGTAGCTTACAACTTATCCACATGTGTATACCACGTTCTGTCTTTGCAGGTTCCTGGACACACATGGTGTTCATATGCATGCAAATGAAATATACATGTATGTATATTTTTAAACTCTTAGTCTTCAACAGAGCACAGCAGGGCCCTTCTAGAAGGGCTGCAAACATTATTGAATACTTAAAGTATAGGAGCTCAAATGTCAACTTTTGTGAATACTGTGCAGCTATGAGCATATTTAGAAACTCAGGGTCACAGAAATATGTCTTAGTCACGAGGTGTAATTTCACTCATGCAGTGTGTGTACTCACTGAGCCATCTTACCAGCCAACATTACAATGTCTTTAATGAGAAAAATGGGAAAATATCTTACAGAAAATAATGAAGAAAACAGCACTTTTCATTTCTAGAAATTATTTTTGTATATATAAAGTACAGCAATACAAAAGGAACTTTAGAGTTTTCCTCCCTCAAGTTTTCATTAACATTTTCAATTTCAAGGTTTGCTTGCATGTACAGTGTCTTCTATTCCTTCTTTTTTTTTAAATATTTATTTATTTATTTATCTATTTATTATGTATACAATGTTCTGTCTGTATGCCTGCAGGCCAGAAGAGGGCACCAGACCCCATTACAGATGGTTGTGAGCCACCATGTGGTTGCTGGGAATTGAACTCAGGACCTTTGGAAGAGCAGGCAATGCTCTTAACCACTGAGCCATCTCTCCAGCCCCTCTTCTATTCCTTCTTAATATTCCCTTTTAAAAGGTATAATTTTAAGGGCTGGAGAGACGATGCAGCAGTTAAAAGCCCTCGACACACAGACAATCTGGGTTGGGTTCCAACACCAACAAGGCAACAATCATCTGAGAATTCAGTTCCAGGGGCTGCAATGCCCTCTTCTGGCCCTCACAGGCACTGCACACACATAGTATACAGACACAGACAAAATACCAAAAATACCCAGACATATTTTTTAAAAGCTCCCCCTACCCCCATACAGGGTTTCTCTGTGTGTGTAGCCCTGGCTGGTCTTGAACTCAAAGAAATCTGCCTTTGCCTTCTGAATGCTGGGATTAAAGGCATGAGCCACCACTACCTGACTAAAAAAGCTTTTAAATAAAATAAAATAAGAAGAAACCTCTTTTTAAAAGTATTATGAGGAGATGGATACTCACAAGAGAGGCTAACTTATTTCATTAAGAGCAAAAGTGAACTCATCTTTTTACGCCAAATCCAACTTTTGTCAGTTGTAAACACTTTTAAAAAGACAAGTAACAGCACTACTTTTGCTGTGTGTGTCCCAACCATACTCCATCTAGTTATCTGACAGACAAAAATATTAAATGTATTTAAAGAAAGTATTAAAAAGTATTTATCTGACAGAAGAAAATGTTTACCAAATTGTTTAACTTATTATCAATTAAATCACATTTTATTTATTTGGGGGAGTTCTTTGAGTTTCACTCTGTAACCCTTTTTAGTCTACTCACTATGTAAACCAGGATGACCTCAAACTCAAAAAGATCTACCAGTCTCTGCCCTCAAGTGCTAGGACTAAAGGTGTGCACCACTATGCCTGGCTGAACATGGCTTATTTTATGAAAAAAAAAAAATACTAAATCAAATTAAGTACAAATAAGAAGTTAAAAAATAGAAAAAAAAAAGAAAAAAGGATAAGGTGATCAAACCATGAATGAAATTCACAATCAGACACTGAGAAGTGTACTCAATCACTCCTGGGAGAACACACACCAGGGGCTTCTCCATACTCACATCTCTATGCCCACTGCTGGCAGAATCATGGAGGGGGGTGTCATCATCTAAGCCTTGTGTATTAACATCTGCTCCCGCTGCTATAAGTATTTTAGCGACATCATAATATCCAACATTGCACGCTTCATGCAAAGGTGTCCAACCTAAAGTAAGAATATAAATTAACAAGAGTTCAAAACATATGCTTTTTATATTCATATCTATATATTGCATATCAATTCTAAATTGAACATGATATGGAAAGAAAAGGGAAAGAGGAAGAAACTATTTAAAATAATCAAGAACATCATCAATTTTGCAGAAGGTTCATTTGAGGAAATATCTGTTTCAATGCAACTAAATTATTATATAAAATACTAATTTTATTCAGTTTTAATTTGGTTGAATTCATAATCATCAAAACTATAAAAATATATATATATTTTTTTTTGGTTTTTCGAGACAGGGTTTCTCTGTGGTTTTGGAGGTTGTCCTGGAACTAGCTCTTGTAGACCAGGCTGGCCTCGAACTCACAGAGATCCGCCTGCCTCTGCCTCCCAAGTGCTGGGATTAAAGGCGTGCGCCACCACCGGCCGGCCTATAAAAATATTTTTAAAAGAGGTAAAATGAGTTAACTTTGGTAAGAATCAGTTAAAAACCTTTGTGTTTTATGCTCTATTATGCTCATATCTTTTCTAGACTTAATACTGCTTTTAAGAAAAATAGATCTGTCACTTTGTTTTCATAATTAAACATGTTCACTAATCAAATACTAGAAAACATTAAAAAACACAAACAGTACTGTAATTCTATAATAATGCTATCACTCAAGTATAAAAATATTTAAAATCTCATGTAATTCTTACTAGCTTCCCCATATTCATAAATAAGAATGGATACTTGTTGAAGAATATTTCTTTTTTTTGTGACTTTCAACATTTTTATTTTATTCATCTTTTAGCTAATATTTTTTTTAAGTTAAGAGTTAGAAAGATGGCTCAGTGAGCATCAGTTCAGGTCCCTAGCATCCACATGAAAATCACCACAACACCTAGGACCTAAGGGCATAGAAACAAATGAATCATTGAATCTCATTGGCCAGACAGCTAGAAAAATCAATAAGCTCCAGGTTTTGTAAGAGACTGTCTTAAATAAATAAATAAATAAATAAATAAATAAATAGATAGATAGATAGATAAATAAATAAATAGCGTTAAGAGCAATTCAAGACATCTGAAATCAACTCTAGCCTCTACACATCTGTACACAACAGACACAAACACAAGTAGACCACACACATAGGCTAAAAAATAAAAATAAATGTAGCTAATTCTGTCTTACCAATCAAATTAACAATATGATGTCAGCATAAAGTAGAATTAAAAATTAAACATTCAAAATAATTCTAATATTTAATTATATAAATATATGTGAGCCTTAAAAAATCTATATGGCAGATTCATAGAGTGAGGAATATTTCTTTACACTGTAAAGATGTGTCTGTGCCTCAGGAACCTTCTGATTGGTTTAATAAAGAGCTAACTAAATGACCACAGCTAGGCAGGAGAGAACAGACAGGACTTCCAGGCAGAGAGAGAGAAACTAGGAGGAGGAATCTATGTTGGATTATATCAGCAGACTCAGAATGAGTTGGATATGCCGTGCTCATAAGAGGTAACTGAGCCACATGGCAGAACATAGATTTACAAAAAAAAAAGGGGGGGTTAATTAAGTTATAAGAGTTAGTTAGGACCCCAGCAGCACAGACACTAAGGACAACATTGAATAAATGGGACCTACTAAAGCTGAGAAGCTTCTGTAAAGCAAAGGACACTGTCACTAAGACAAAAAGGCAACCTACTGACTGGGAGAAGATCTTCACCAACCCCGTAACAGACAAAGGTCTGATCTCCAAAATATATAGAGAACTCAAGAAACTAGACTCTAAAATGCTAATTAACCCAATTAAAAAATGGGGCACTGA